TTTAGTGGAGTAGGTGAGATGGTAGTGGTGTAGTGGGTTAGGTTTAGTGGAGTAGGTGAGATGGTAGTGGTGTAGTGGGTTAGGTTTAGTGGAGTAGGTGAGATGGTAGTGGTGTAGTGGGTTAGGTTTAGTGGAGTAGGTGAGATGGTAGTGGTGTAGTGGGTTAGGTTTAGTGGAGTAGGTGAGATGGTAGTGGTGTAGTGGGTTAGGTTTAGTGGAGTAGGTGAGATGGTAGTGGTGTAGTGGGTTAGGTTTAGTGGAGTAGGTGAGATGGTAGTGGTGTAGTGGGTTAGGTTTAGTGGAGTAGGTGAGATGGTAGTGGTGTAGTGGGTTAGGTTTAGTGGAGTAGGTGAGATGGTAGTGGTGTAGTGGGTTAGGTTTAGTGGAGTAGGTGAGATGGTAGTGGTGTAGTGGGTTAGGTTTAGTGGAGTAGGTGAGATGGTAGTGGTGTAGTGGGTTAGGTTTAGTGGAGTAGGTGAGATGGTAGTGGTGTAGTGGGTTAGGTTTAGTGGAGTAGGTGAGATGGTAGTGGTGTAGTGGGTTAGGTTTAGTGGAGTAGGTGAGATGGTAGTGGTGTAGTGGGTTAGGTTTAGTGGAGTAGGTGAGATGGTAGTGGTGTAGTGGGTTAGGTTTAGTGGAGTAGGTGAGATGGTAGTGGTGTAGTGGGTTAGGTTTAGTGGAGTAGGTGAGATGGTAGTGGTGTAGTGGGTTAGGTTTAGTGGAGTAGGTGAGATGGTAGTGGTGTAGTGGGTTAGGTTTAGTGGAGTAGGTGAGATGGTAGTGGTGTAGTGGGTTAGGTTTAGTGGAGTAGGTGAGATGGTAGTGGTGTAGTGGGTTAGGTTTAGTGGAGTAGGTGAGATGGTAGTGGTGTAGTGGGTTAGGTTTAGTGGAGTAGGTGAGATGGTAGTGGTGTAGTGGGTTAGGTTTAGTGGAGTAGGTGAGATGGTAGTGGTGTAGTGGGTTAGGTTTAGTGGAGTAGGTGAGATGGTAGTGGTGTAGTGGGTTAGGTTTAGTGGAGTAGGTGAGATGGTAGTGGTGTAGTGGGTTAGGTTTAGTGGAGTAGGTGAGATGGTAGTGGTGTAGTGGGTTAGGTTTAGTGGAGTAGGTGAGATGGTAGTGGTGTAGTGGGTTAGGTTTAGTGGAGTAGGTGAGATGGTAGTGGTGTAGTGGGTTAGGTTTAGTGGAGTAGGTGAGATGGTAGTGGTGTAGTGGGTTAGGTTTAGTGGAGTAGGTGAGATGGTAGTGGTGTAGTGGGTTAGGTTTAGTGGAGTAGGTGAGATAAGTAAATAATTAATTATGCTAAGCTAATTAATTAAATAATTACAATAATAAACTAATTTAATTAACTACTTTAAGTTAATTAAATAAATACAATACGAAGCTAATTAGCTAACTATATTAACTAATTAATTATAAAGCAACTAATTAATTACAACATGAATTAACTAAATAACTAATCTAATTAAATAATTACAACACTTTTAATTAGATACAACATAACTATAACTAACTAATTAACTAAATTAACTAATGATTAAACTAATTAACTAGTCCCGGGAATGAGGGAGGCTCAATGCATGCTCGGTTTCCATCCGAAGAATGTCCACTGTTTGTTCCCGAAAGCCTCTATTGCATAACCCTTGCACTGGTTTTCTTTTTCCAGATCAAAGCTGCTCTGCTTCACAAACATTTTGCTCAAAATTCATTGGTGGCCGGCAGGCTAGAAGTGGTGGCCGGTCGGCTACCATTGGGGGGTTGTCGTCCAACACTGATGGCCTGCCGGCCGGCACTGGTGATGCACAATTCCATACTGCAACAGAGAGCAAATAGGGCAAAGAGAGGGTATTCTCATAGATTGCATGTACTATGTATCCCTCATTATCATCAAAACATCTCAAATGAGTGATACACTTGGCTCTCAAACCATCAATCAAGCAATTTTATTGCATGATGGCTAAGGAACCAATGTGTACAAGTTCAATAAATGCACAAGCAAGACCAAAACCATCACCCTATCATGCATGATCAAGGGCAATGGAGACCTTAGAAAAATTGGCACATTTCATTACTTTGAGTATGAAATGCCCAAATTTTCTTTGTGTTCAATTAACATCCGATTGAACACACCAAAACCCAACCAAATTCTTATCTTTGCACAATTTTAGTTTCAACTTTGTTTACTCATTTTACCTTACCAACCATTCTTTAACCAATTCAATTCATTGGCGAGTAGTCCTCTAAAGAGAAGGAAGTGTCAAACAAATGGTAGTTTAAGGCAAGAGAGAGGTGTCATGCTGTTGATAATGAACCCCCAAAAAAGGATTAAACCATTAAGCATGAACCTCAATCTCAAGCTTAAACAATCCCAAGGGTGAAACAACCATCAAAGCAAACAAAGAATGAAGAAATGAGGGAGGTTACAGAGATTATGCTTGTTGAAAATAAGTGAGAAAAGCACTAAAACAATGCAATCAACTCAAACAAGTGGTGTCTAAAGGCCTAAAACACCAAGCTTGTGAGGAAACTTACACTACAAGCATGCAATACAAGACTCAAATGACTTAACCAACCCAAAACAGAGTTAAAACAGTCCAAAATAGAGCCTAAAACATGCTGGAATTAAGCTATAAATGGCTAGAAAAATAAGCTAACATATAGAGCTATCTAGGCTAACAAACAAGGCACAAGGATGAGAGGCTAACCCCTTCAAATTTGGACTTCAAAACATGATTTTTACCACTAAAAATACTCTGAAATTCAGTGTTCAAAGGTCCAAAAATAGATAGTTTGAAAGTGGGAAACAAAGGTGGAAAGACCTTACAAACAAGAATAAAAAGGGGTGAACCACCCCCTAATCTTAAATGGCCTAAAATCAAAAATTTCAACCCACAAAAATAGAGTTTTTTATACCCCAAAACAGTCCAAAATCAGTGGGAAATAGATAGAAAAGCAAGTATGCAAAATAAGTTAAAAAGACAAGTATTATACCTCTTGAAGCAAAGATCAACTTTAGGAAACAATTCGAGCCAAAACCAACTTCAAGAGCTCCAAGAAGGCCTCAAGGAACCTCAGCTCAAAGGTGATCAACTTTGATTAAGGAGGTGTAGGAAAAAGTGTGGTGTATGTAGGCTAATGTGCACAAACTTGCAAGAGAGAGAGAGAGAGAGAGGGAGATTTTTGTTCCAAAAATTCTAACCTTTAAACCAAGAGAGAAGGTCCTCTATATATAGGAATATATGAGCTTCATGTCAAAATATCTATATAGAGACAGGTGGAGCATTGCGAAAATAGCTTGAGGAAAATATCTGCAAAAAATTTGCTTTTTTGACACTTGTGGCCGGCAGGCCACTAATGATGGACGGCAAGACACATTAGTGGACGTAACCCTCCCAAAAGTGGGTCAATATACTAAAAAAAAGGCCAAAAATTTCACTAATGGCCGGCAGGCCACAAAAGTGGCCGGCCACAAAAATCTATTTTCAGGCCCGAATTCAAACTGGCATATCTCCTTCATCTGGACTCCATTTCAGGTCATTCTTGAGTCTAAATTGCAGCCCCTGAAGTCTAGTTTCCAATGGTGGGAGCCTCATATCTAAATTCTAACTGTGAAAAGAGATATTCCTATTTTAATGAAGGTTTCTCAGTTTTGTCCTAACGAATTGATGCCTAACTTCTTTCCCAACTAGTTTTTTTTCCCCTCTCTTTCTATTTTCTTCAACTCCAAACCTCTAAATGAGATGTTTAAAAGATTTTTCAAAGAGTTCACCTCTCTTCCATTTATTTTGACTTTGTCTTTGCTCGGTTTACCGAAAAGTGCAACATTTAACGAAATACGAGCCTTGGAACATCGTAGAAGCATTTTTAGAAATATTTTGAAAGAAAGGATTTTAAAGTCTAAAATAATTTTGGTCAAAAATAGTTTTGGTCCAAAATAGGGCGTAGGGTTGGGATTTAGAGCCTCCTTACTGAAGAAATCGAATATTTGCATAGCACAACTTTCATCATCGGGTGATCAACTTGAGGCACCCAAGTCTTAAGGGCGGTCAAAAATGGGGTGTCTACAGCTTGTCTCCCCACACGCCTTGATTGGCTGCCAAGTTGCTACTAGCTATCCTCCGTGGGCTACCAGGGACGGGGTTGGACTTACTACTTTCTATTTTGGGCTAGTGTGATTAGGTTTGGGCCTGGCCTCATATTTTTACCCTCCACAGTGGTTATATAAGATTTGCCTGTGTAAGAATGGTCGGGTTTTAGTGACCTTTGGTTAATATTTGTTGATTGTAAAGAGTCCAAATATCACACTAATGGCTAATATTGGTCATCAAGGTTAAATATGTCACCATATTTACTTTTCAAGGTTAAATATGTCAATCATTGTACATGGTCAACCAAGTCAGCTCAGTGGGAGCTTCTAAGTGGTCACTATAAGTTGTCTGAATGGGTTTCTGTATATTCAATTGTGTATCTTTACAAGGAGGTCACCAATTTATATAAGCCTAAGGAAAATACGAAAAAGAAAATACAGCCAAATAGTTACACCACCACAATCTTTCCTAATTCTATATACAATACAATCTTCCCTAATTCTATACACAATATATTTCTCACACTCCTGCTCAAACTCAAGGTGTTTTAGCAAAAAATACTGAGAGTTTGCTAAGAAAAAACTAAAATCGAGATGTAGTGTGAGCCTTAGTGAAGAAGTCCACAAATTACAAAGCCGAAGAGACAAAAGGAAGCGAGATAGAGCCAGACTGCAGATGTTGTCAGACAAAGTGACAATCAATCTCAATGTGTTTCGTCCGTTCATGGAAGACAATATTGTGGGTAATCTAAATAGCACTGCGGTTGTCACAATAAAGGGAGGTTAGAGAAGATTGAGGGACACCCAAATCAAATAATAGACAACGAAGCTAAATAATTTCAGCAGTAGCATGAGCCATAGCACGGTACTTAGCTTCAACAGTAGAGCGAGCAACAATAGTTTGTTTCTTGTTTTTTTAAGAGATCAAGGAATCGGCAAGAAACATGTAGAAACCAGGCATGGACTTGCAATCAGTAACATCACTAGCCCAATCAGAATCAGCATAGGCCACCAAATCCAAAGAGAAAGTAGAGGACAATAGTAAACCCTGAAAGATTGTACCTCGGAGATGGTGAAGAATCTGAACCAGTGTTGCCCAATGTGGAGAGCGAGGAGCAAAAACAAACTGGCTAACCACATGCACAGCATAGGCAAGATCAGGACGAGTAACTGTCAGATAAACTAAGCAACCCACAAGCTCGCGATATAAAATGAGATCATCCAATGGGACACCATCAGTAGAGTTGAGCTTCACATTAAGCTTAGTAGGGGTATCAAAAACCTTAGTATCAGTAAGACCAACATGGTGAATGACCTCATTAGCATACTTAACCTGAGACAGAAAATAGCCTTTTGGAGAAGAGGCAACTTCAATACCAAGAAAATACTGCAAAGGACCAAGATCCTTCATCTCGAAGGTGCGAAAGAGATTCTGCTTGACCTCAGAGATAGCAGAAGAGTCAGAACCAGTGATGATCATATCATTCACATACAGTAATAATGCAACAAATCCAGCTGAGGTGTAAAGAAGGAATAAGTCCTGGGCACAAGGATGAAACCTAAGCTCAATAACAGCAGTTTGAAAGCGATCATACCAAGCACGAGGAGACTACTTCAGACCATACAGAGCACGCCGAAGGCGACAAATCTGTCTAGAGAAATGATGAAGGCCAGGAGGAGGACGCATGTAAACCTCCTCAGTGAGATGGCCATTAAGAAAAGAATTCTTAACATCCATCTGATAAAGAGACCAAGAATGAATAGCAGCGACAGAGATCAAAGTACAGACAGTAGTCATCTTGGCAACAGGAGCAAAGGTCTCCTCATAATCAATACCATACTCCTGTGAGAAACCTTTGGCAACCAGATGAGCTTTGTAGCACTTAAGAAAACCATCAGAATGAGTCATGACTTTGTAGACCCATTTGCAACCAACCAGATTCTTACTAGCAAGTAAAGGAACCAACTCCCAAATACTAGTTTTCTGTAAAGCAGACAACTCATCATCCATAGCTTGAACCCAATGAGGATCCTAACAGGCCTCCTTATAAGACTGAGGTTCTTAAAAAGAGTAAATAGCAGACAAAAAAGTACGACATGAAGTAGAAAAACATGTATTAGACCAACTCAACCTGTTTGGAGGACGACACTCACGAGGAAGATAGCGGTGTGCAGCAAGATCAGAGTCGTCAGAAGCAGAAGGAGCAGCAATAGGAGTAGAGACAACTGGTGGTAGAGGAGCCTTGTGAAGAGAATAAACTAACAACGAAGGGGAAAAAGTGGCCAAAGGCGAAGAAGGAGCCATAGGTAACAGAGATGGAGAAGTAGGGATGACCTTAGGAGGAATAGTGGCGATATACTCATCTGATGGGACCTCAGAAGGAAATAGGTCAATGTGAACCAAATCCTCTTTGGAAATGGGAGCAGTGAGAGGGGAAAACTGAAAGTAAGACAGACGTTTGAGAAATGCAACATGACGGGAGACATAGAGGCGACAAGAGACAGGGTTGTAATAGCAGTAGCCTTTCTAAGTAAGACTATAGCCCAAAAAGACACACAAGACAGACTGGGCACTGAGTTTGGTCCAATCTTTACGGGGATGGAGGACAAAATAAGTAGACCCAAATACACGTAGGAGGGAATAATTAGGAGGTTAAGAATATAGAGCCTTATAAGAGGATTGACCGAAGTGTAGGGGAGTCGGCATGTGATTAAAGATGAAAGCAACACTAAGAACTGCCTCGCCCCAGAATGGTGCCAGAACAGAGGCAGAGAGAAGGAGAGATCGAGTTGTCTCAAGGAGATAACGGTATTTACGCTCAACACGACCATTTTGGAGGGGGGGTATCAGTACAGGAGGTTTGGTGAATGGTGCCTAATTTGGCCAAATACTCACAGAATTCAGTTTTAAAGTATTCCCCATCCATGTCAGACTAGAGTATTTTAATGGTGACCCCAAACTATATAGTGATCATAGACTGAAAGGTACGATATATCTAGTAGAAGTCAGATTTATGAGCCATAAGATAAACCCAGGTATAGCGGATACAATCATCAACAAATGACACATAATACGCAGAACTCCCTTTAGTGAGAATAGAAGAAAGTCCCCAGACATCAGTATGGACAAGAGAAAAAAGGGAAGCAGAAATAGAAGTACTGTTATTAAAAGGTAAAGCTATCATTTTACAAGTTTACATCCTCGACACTCATTAATTTGACTAGGAGAAAGTTTACCTAACAATCCTGACTGAGCTAAAAACTGCAAGCAGTTAACAAACAAATGACCTAAGCGAGAATGGCATAAATAAAACTGACTCGACTGAGAATCTAACTGAAAAGATGAAAGTGCAACGTCTTTTCTTGCCTGTATCAAAATTACATTATCATTGTTCAAGTAGAAGCCAAACACATGAAACAGTGCTATGGATCATAATAACTTACTTCCCATCCCAATATAGGTAATTTGTGAATAAAAAGAGCAAGAACATCTTCTTTACAGATTTCAAGCGTCAACTGCGAAACCTGATCCATTTTGGGTTCAACCTCCCCATCTCCACAAAGCATAACTCTCATTGTTGCAAAGTTCTTCTCAACTTCTTCCAAAGCCTGCCAACATATCGAGAGAAAATAGTTTAACATAGATGCACAACGATTATAGTTAGTATAACACTCATATGTTCCAAAATCTTAATATAACCCAACCTACTAACCTTGAGGTTGTGGGTTCGAATCTGAGAGTAGTCACTTTGTATAAATTATGTTAAAAGTGAGTTCTATATCAAATCTACCCTTCCAGACCCCATCTAATGGGGGGGCTAAAGTGGTTGTACTTTTTTGTGGGAAATTGCTGGCCTAAAATTTTAACAATTTGTTTTGATACTTTAATTTGGATCAGTAGGCATTTTAACAATTTGTTTGGATACTTTATAGAGCTATGCAAACTAGAACTAATTTATCATAGCACCTTTTGTATTTATTATCAAGTCCAATGCATTCTATCATAAACCCTTTCATGCTGGCATGCAGGGTAATGCCAAAAAATAAATAAAACATCACAGCAGATTCACACTAAGCCAAATATCGGTTCACATGGCAGCAAAACTTCACCAAGATTGCAAATTCGCAATCTGACACAGTTCGCCACCCTTATTGGGTAAAATGGACTACTAAGATCAGTACCCGACATTAGCTTTTATAGATTGAGACTGGCGGGAGGGATAGACTAGTGCCTCGTTTGGTTGAGGCTATTTTAACCTGAGAGAAGTCAGTATATTTTCGTCTTATTAGGACTTTATTCAAATTTGATCAAGTCTTTTTTTTTAAAGGTTTTTATTATGTTATGAAATAAAATAGGAAGTATCTAGTTTGCATATCGCAAAAGAAAATACAATACAAACTAAACTAACAAATTTGTCCTGAAATAATGAAACCGTCAAAACTGAAACAGGATTGATATGATAGATGCTAATTGCAAATACGCGAGTGCAAATAAGACATGTTCCCAGTACAAGTGAGAGATCTGTGCCACGGCTGCACAATTCTCAATTACACTCCGTTGATTTGCAATTAGTTTCTGAATTTCTCATTCATATGATATTTCCCAAGCATTCATGGTTAGCTATTATGTTAACCGAACCCAATTAACATTTTGAATTAATGACACAAATTATAATAAGCGCAGCTGAAAATGTAAATTACGATTTAAAATTCAAAATTCACATAAAGAAATCATTTTTATCACCAATGGATATACATACATAGAGAGAGAGAGAGAGAGAGAGAGAGAGAGAGAACCTTCTTGAGGGCTTGAACCTCGGCGACGGTTTTGGCGTCGAGAGCAGTGAGGCAGTCCTTGATAGCTTTGACGAGCTCTTGAGGGGTTTTAGGCCTCGAAGGCTTGAAGAACGAGAATGACATGATTGATTGTTCAATCTCTGTGTCTCCGTAGTGGATGATGAAGTGTGGGGGATCAGGGCTTGCTCAGGGCTTGCACTGCCAGGAAAATACTCTCTCAGAAAAGAGAAGGCCCGACAAGGGGCTTGATTTTGGAGTCCCTCTCCTTCTTTTTTCTGTGATCCCAACCACTACCTCAATATTGATTCGACCTATTCTCTGTTTGGGCAAAATTTTTTTTTTTTTTTTTAACAACAAAAAATGAAACTAGCAAAAAAATATTAACAAATCAAAATTATAATTTTTTTATTATTTGAATTTAAATTCTTACTTTTTAAAATCATTTCAATTATAATCATTTATTAGTTAATAGGGGCAATTTATGTAATTTAATTATTTTTTTCTCAATATTACTGAACAATAACAGTGGTTATGAATTGTACAATGAAAGATATAGGCAACGGTGAGTTGAGAAAGGAAATGAATAACGGTGAATGAAAAAATAGATAAATAGACAACACTAAAATAAGAAAGATAAGGGGTAGTGATGATCAATCACGATAAGAGCACATTACAACTTATATTTATTTGTTGTTAATAATTTGTAAAAAATGGATCAAGTTGAAAAGAAGAAAAAACAAAGATAGAGAATAAGAGCAAAAAATGAGAATGCACTAACTCTTTCTACAACTTCGTGTAATTTGGCTTTCCTTCTTCAATTTTATATTATATTATATTTTTTAAAATTATATATTAAATTTATTTTTGTTTTCACATAAATGAAATTGATTTTTCAAAAATTTAGGAAAAAACACTCTTACTCAAACAAATTCCCACTCTCTTCTCCTTCTTCCACCATTGTTACCATTACTCAATAAACACCACTATTAACCAACTCTAATGGCCTTCTAGCCAACCCTCATCGAATTTTAATGTGTTCTAGTCATTCTCTTAATTTTTTTATTACTTTGCGATAATTTGACCGTTAACTTTGACTGACACTTTCGCTTACTGTATAAGTTTACACCCTCTTTCACTCGATACTATCTTATTCAACTCACCAAATATAAGTATTTTACACTATGGGGCCATTTGGGAACATTCCAAAAAATTCAAAAATCAGTTTTTGACTCATTTTGAATCACATCACATCTTACATAAAAAAGTCAAAATATCAATTTTTTACTATCTTCTCAAAACACCCCTATTTTGTTCAACTCACAAAATATAAGTATTTTTATTTTTAAAATATTTGCGTACATCATAAAATAAAATAAAAAATGTATACACCAAATAAGTTTTTAAATAAATATTTGTTTTTTAAATAAAAACAACAAAATAAATTTTTTTATTTTTTATTTTATTAATTTGAATATTAATTTTTTGATTTGTTTTCAATATATTCCATTAGTATATTTTCGTTAAGTAAAATCAACTAAAAAAAATGTTAATCATATTGTTTAATTTTGATGATGTCTAAAATATTATTTGTCAAAATTTAGATTTTTTAATATACATATTATTTGACAAATTGATAATTTTTTATATTGTATATTATTTGACACAAAATTTTATCTGTTTAAAATATATATTGTATGATACATTTGTTAAATATTATTTAAATAAAAATATTTTTTACTATTCACTTTTTGAAAAATTAGGCTGATCACTATTCATTTTTTGACAAATTTGATATTGATTGATTATATTATTTTGATATTGATGAGTTGTCTTCTTTTGACAAAAGTGATATATCCACATGGAGTGATAGGTTATGTTTAGTTTAAAATTTCTATAAAAATTTAAAACGGGTATATATGTTTAGATCTATTATAAATTTTATTTAAAGAGATTTTACTATATATGCAAATATTTGATTAGGATATTATATACAATGCATATAATATAAATAGAATACATCACGTGAGCAATTAGATTTTTTACACTACATTGATTATATCATGTCTCACACACACATACACACACACACACACATTGTAACGCCCTCAAAATAAACCCATAATATACACAATATTGACATGCATTGGTAAACGAAAACAAAACATTATTCCATTCATTAGAGTATTCTTATTAAAAGACATTACATGTAACATCGAAAATAAATGCCCTACGGGCTTACAGCTTTCCAAGCCAACACTTGGACACAAAAGTCTGAGTACTAACTCAACTACACATTAAGCCCTTGGCTTGAGTTTACATGTAATATCAAAATAAAACAAAATAACAACTAACTAAACAGAGTCTTCAACTCCAAATCCTCTCAAGCTAAGTCCTTGGTGGTAGCATATCACCTGGACCTGAAAATGATGTTCCCGTATAGGGTGAGCCACAGCCCAGCAGAAATATACTAAACCATATATAATAATTGACTAAAGCAATAGCATTCGATATATGGCTAACACTTATAAATCCATTATATCACTATACAGTTTCATGACAATAGTGTCCATGATTTGTTTCACTTTCCGTTATTATTCAACTTTCCAATCATACAGACATGGCTCAGAACCTGGCCAATCAATAATAATGAGACTACATCTCATATTAATATTACTTCCAATATCAACAATTCAAGTGAGACTAAGGCTCAAACTAAAGCACTTCCATAAATCGATAAGTACACATATTTGCTGTACCAAAACACTTCCATAAATCGATAAGTACACATATTTGTTGTACCAAAACACTTCAAAAAATCAATAAGTACACATATTTGCTGTACTAGTGGAGTCCATCCCCTATCTTCCCTCAAACCATGGAGTACATCCCCTAACTCCTCCCAAATAATATGCATATACGATGTATTAAACACTTGTCATATACAATATTCAATCAATACACGTATTTGCTGTATTAATTCAACCGTCATATTCAATGACTTATTCAATGTGATTAGTTTTAGTTTTCCCTAATCAGCATGCAATGTCTACAACAATCACGACTATCCTCCACCGATAGCCCAAAGCATTTATTTCTAAATAGGAAATAAATGCATCAATAGATATAAACTCAACATTTTCATAGGTGAGTGATTAAATTATCCAACTACATCATTCAATCAATAAATTCCTCAATTCCATGAATTAAACTTAATTCCACATTTTTCCTAAAATTAATTATACAAATTAATTTATTACAACAATTAGAGTTTTTCCCCATTTCCTCAAAATCAACCCTAAGGTTAAATTTTTATCAATTTAATACTATCAATGTCATTTTTCATGACTTCCAAACACATGGAGTTTAATATATAAAAATTCCTTTTTTCTCAAATTATAAATCAAACCCTAAAAATTACCAAACGACACCAACATATCAAAATGACCAAAACTTAGGACAAAACCTATAATATGGAGTAGGGTATCTGTATGGGGGCGAAATATCCTCTACTTTCCGTACTTCCTGAACGTCAAGCTTCTCGTGACGGCGTCTATCTCTGTAACATAGAAATGGTGAGCTGCCCGACGGTGGTGTGCCAGATAGACCCTCCGACGATTAAGTCAGACCACTGAAGGAAGAAGAAGGCTACCAGAGAAGGAGAGAGTGCAAGTGATAGAGTGAATTTTCATACCTCTAACGTTCGCCTTTCTCCATATTTCTAGGCTGGCCATGCAGCCTCAAGATTGTGCGCGCACTACCTCTGCTGTCCTTCCTTGGACAGGTGGCAGTGCTCGCCTTTCACCACCTTCCGCGTGTAAAGGCTCAGTCCTCCCACCAGTACACGAAGAACTGTCCAACGGTACTGGCGCATGCCTGGAGGACTGAGCCTTTCACCACTATCTCTGTAACATAGAAATGGTGAGCTGCCCGACGGTGGTGTGCCAGATAGACCCTTCGACGATCAAGTCAGACCACTGAAGGAAGAAGAAGGCTACCAGAGAGGGAGAGAGTGCAAGTGATAGAGTGAATTTTCATACCTCTAACGTTCGCCTTTCTCCATATTTCTAGGCTGGCCATGCAGCCTCAAGATTGTGCGCGCACTACCTCTGCTGTCCTTCCTTGGACAGGTGGCAGTGCTCGCCTTTCACCACCTTCCGCGTGTAAAGGCTCAGTCCTCCCACCAGTACACGCAGAACTGTCCAACGGTACTGGCGCATGCTTGGAGCAGATTTCCTCTCCCTCACGCCATTGGCCCAGGTGGCACACTGAACCGGAGTACCACGACCGGCCTATCACTCGTGGAGGTTTGCCATCACATGCACACGACCGAGCTATGTGTCGCCGGCTTGTCCCTTGGCAAAGGGGCCAAAGAGCGATGCTCATCGCCGAGTTGATATTGACTGGTTCATTAGGCTAACCGGTTGCGAGGTATGCCGGCCTCCACCCATCCTACCTTCATTCTCGGTCACATGAAGCCCACTTATCACGGCTGATCGGTCAGAGGCGTGTCGGCCCTAACCCCGTCCATAGTCTAGCCCGGGCTACTTTAACTCGGTCGCCACACACCAGTGCCGCTCTGTCAAATGTAAGCGAGTCACTACTCGGTCAAGCCACAGCTTACGTCTGCCCGGCCGGTATTCCCGACCGTGGCCATGACCTATGCCTGCCCGGTCAATCCCCATCACCGTGCAAAACGGACCAGTAGACCGCATCAGTGGGAGGAACGACATGACGCCGTGAAGTCTGTCACGACCCGCGCTATCGTAGCTCGGCCGTACTAACGATGCAAATCTCCCCTCTCAATTGCCCCTTAATCCCATCCGAGCTATCGTGATTGTGATTATCCCTGTGACCGATTCGACGGACAGTGACTTGCATCTTTTCCAAGCCGAGCATGGTTGGGGTCATATCTGTCTCCGAGCTATCCCATTTGGTCGGTCATTTCTTTAGCAATCTTGCCAAGCGTCGTACCACCGTACTGACAGACGCGTTTTCAGTGCCACGTGGCTCCCATCCATTGGGTCGTACAGCCCAGCCGTCCTCCACGCGCAGAATTCAAACGGCTGCGCCGTTTGGGTTTTTTCCCCCTTTTTATGTACAGCCCAAGAGTCATTCGAACCCATCATTGTCCATTCTCTCCTCCGAACAAACCCTAAACCTCCCAAACCTTCGAACCTCCAAGATCACTGTCATTACTGTCTTTGTGCTACATCCTCCATTTCAGTTCCTTTCGAAGGCTGCAATCAAGCTCTCGAAGTCGTGTTCACCCTCGCATCTGCCCCCTGGTAAGTTACACTACCCTTCCTTGCAT